GTTCTTTTCCTCTCCAAATTATACTTATTTGCTGTATCTCCCCACACCACCCCTACCCCCACCCCAGAATGCAAACTCCTAGTGGGTAGGACTATTTCCTTTTATGTCCTCGAATCAGCTCACAACACGTGCTAAATAAATATTTTTTTAATTTTTTTTATTTATAAGTTGATCAGTCTAGATGGGGAGAGTAGAGAAAGAACTGAGTTCAAGTCCTCCCCCGTTGAAGTATGACCCAGGCAAGATCACTTCTCAGTGCTCCCTCTTGAAGCTATAAGTTGGAAGAGAAAATGCTGACCTGCCTTGGTTAGAGTAATGTCTTCAACCACCCCTGACCCAGGACTTCTCTGGACCAGTCTCTACACAAGCATAAAGTCTTTCGAGTAGTATCTGGGCTCCAATTTATGTAACTCAAAAAGGAGACACAAGATATTTAGAGACGGAAGAGACTTTTGAGGTCATCTAGCCCTCTCCTTGAATTTTAGAGATGAGGAGACTGAGGCTTGGGCAGGGTCATATAGGTAATAAGTAGCAGAGAAGGAATTTGAACTCACCTCCTCTGATTCCATGATAACAGCCAGACCCCTTTCTGGCTGAATATTTATGCTGTCATTGACTCAAAACTAGGGAATGTTCACAGAATGTTTAACCTAAGGGCCAGGGATGTTAATGAATTAAATTTAAAACTCTAAGAGTGAGTAATAGGTTAAGGGGGAAATAAATGTCGGTGATCTTGTAGAATGGAAAGTTAACATTTCACTGATAATCTCGGCAGAATTTCATTTTTTATATGAAACAGGAAGAAACTGTGCCATGCTAAATGCTTAACTTCCTGTGTCTACCTGGATCTGGGCATCATTCAGGCCAAGGGCAGCAAGCTCTCTATGGCCTTGGATCCATGCTGCTCAACATGATGTTCTGTATTTCAGAGAATTTGATCCACTCAGACCTGGAGGGGATTTTGTCTGTTTACTTTCTTTTCCTCCACCTCCCTTACTTTTGATCCCCTTGATTTGTTATCAAGGGTGCTATTTATTTTACGGTTAAACAATAAGCTTCCCTTGCATCACCAGAGGCCAGAGAGAATGCAGCCAGTTGCATCACCACCCTCTATCTCTTGGCTCCTGGCATTTCTTTGGCTATCCCTCCCCTCCATCCCCATTCCCATCCCCCTGTGCCTGGAATGCTGTCATTCCTCATCTCTGCCTCCTGGCTTCCCAGGCTTCTTTCAGGTCCCAGCTAAATCCTATCTTCTGCAAGAAGCCCTTCCTAACTCTGCTGATTATCCGCAAAATTTATCTGGTAATTACACATTCTTTATACCAAGCTGTTTGCATGTTCTCTCCCCTATTGTACAGTGAGCTCCTTGTGGGCAGGAACTGGCTTTCGTCTTTCCTTTGTATCCCCAGAGCTTAGCAGGGATTAGGCACTTAATAAATACTTTTGCCTTGCCACTGGACTTTGAAGATTCTAGGAGAGTGAAGCTGAGGACTGTACAAGTCTGCCTCACTTAAATCCAGTTCACAAGTACAAGTCATCATTGGTCACTCTTCAAAAAAGAAGGACAAACAATGATAAATACTTGTTGACTGATTGTTTAACAAATGTTAGCTCATTTTATCTTCATAATAACCCTGAGAGGTAGATGCTGTTATTATTCCCATTTTGTTGTTCAGTAGCGTCCAACTCTTCATGACCCCATTTTGGGGTTTTCTTGACAAGGATACTGAAGTGGTTTGCCCTTTCCTTCTCCAGCTTATTTTACAGATGGAGAAACTGAGGCAAACAGGGTTCAGTGACTTGTCCAGGGTCACAACAGCTGGCAAAGTGTCTGAGGCTAGATTTGAACTCATGAAGATGAGTCTTCCTGACTCCAAGTCCAGTACTTTATCCACAATGCCATCTATCCCAATTTTGCTGGTGATGAAACTAAAAATGGAGACGGTTTAAATGATTTGCCAGGGGTCACACAGCTGAGGTTGGATTTGAACTCAAGTTTCCCTGACTCCAGATCCATTGCTCTATCCACTGTACTACCTGAGGAAATATAACCAAATGTGGGTTATTTAATATAGGAAAGGGATCCTCATTGCAGTATCCAACCAATCAATATCAATAGCTCACCATAGGTGCTAGAGCCCATTAGTGTCCAAGTAATTAATCATAAATAAATACAAGATTGACGACTTGGGTAAGAAGTATTTTTGGAGTCAAGATGATATATTCAATTCCAGCTTCTGAGGCTTGCCCGCCCTGGACCTCAGTTTTCTCATTTGTAAAATGGGATGACAGTTACAGAGGTTACCTACCTGATATCACTGTGGGGATCAGATGAAACAATGCATGTAAAATGCTTTATAAATCATAAAGAGCTATGTAAATGCCAAGCATGATTCTGCTGTCTCTGGTGGGTTTTGGAATGTTAGAAATGATTGATTATTTATATAGCTCCTATTTATATAGCACTTTCAAGTTTGAAAAGGAGTCCCTTTACAACACAGTTGTGAGGGAGACCTTAGAGCAGGGAATGGACAGGGTACTGGCCTCCAGCTGGGGGAGAAGTGGGTTCATATCTCACCCTCATGTACTTACTGGCTGTGCCACTCTGGTCGAGTGCACTTGACCTCCAATGGCCTCAGTTTCCCCATCTGTAAATTGAATGAGTTGTTCCTGTTGGCATCTAAGGTCCTGATGACTAAACAATCCATTGTATGGATCAGTCTTTTCATCTTTCAGTCACCTCTGACTCTTTGAGACCCTGTTTGTGGTTTTCTTGGCAGAGATACTATAGCGGTTTACCTTTTCCTTCTCCAGCTCATTTTACAGATGAGGAAACTAAGGCAAACAGGGTTACGTGACTTGCCCAGGATCACACAGCTAGTAAGCATCTGAGGTTGGGTTTGAAAACAGGTCTTCCTGATGCCAGGCCTGGTTGGTGGTGCTCTCACCTCTCCACCTGGCTGCCCATAGATCAATCTATCAGCATGCATTCATTAAACATTTATTAAATATTTGCTATCATATTAATTAATTTCTTATTTATTAAATATTTAAATTTATTTATTAAATATTTATTAATGTGTGCTGAGCACTGTGCTAACTGCTGGGGATAAAAATACAATAAATGAAACAATCTCCACTCAAAAGTCACCTCCCTTCTAATGGGAAAAGAAACGAGGACATACAGAGATCAACTAGAAGTTATTAATCCTGATCCCCCCCAACTTCTCCCACAAAAATCTCCTTACATCTGTTACGTGTTATTATAAGAATTGTCTCCCCTGATAGAGAGTAAGCTTCTTGAGGGCAGGGATTGCTTCATTTCTGTTATTTACATGCCCTTTCTATGCCTAGCACAGGGCCTGGCACATAGCAGGAGATTTAAAAATGCCTGGTGATTGTTTGAATGATGAGGAAACCCAGACTGAGTGACTTTATCCATGATCATATGAGTCTCAAATGCTAGTGAGTTTCTGAGGTTGGTCCCAGGTCTGTGTGTGACTCATTGAATGCCCCAGTAGAATAGAAGCTCCTAGAGGGCAAGGACTCTTAAAAGGGGGGAAAATGTGTAGCCCCAGGCCTAACACAAGAAATAAACGTTTTTCAAATTTAAAAAAACCCAACAGATTTCTTTCATCTTCAGTAAAGATCCAAGCATCTCCACCAATGAATGGGTGAATGGTACTGGAGTGAGTGAGCGGACCACAGGCTTTCCCCAAGGACTGCGGTTCAGCTGAGCTGGGAACCTCAAAGGAGGGCGTTCATTGGGTGGGGGCTTCACTCACTCACCACTTCCTTCTGACTCCACCACATCCGGAAGGACCAGAACTCTTTTTCCAAGGGGAACAGTCTTGTTTTGGTAACAAGGATTAGCAACTGAAGGATAGGAAAAGGGGCAGAGGGTGTTGTTGCCTTACTCAGCCTGGACCAAAGTAACCCATGAAGACTGCCTATACCAGGCGCTCCGGCGATAGGAAGAATAAAAACAAAAATCATTCTTCGTCTCAAGGAGCTTGCACTTCGGGGAAAGATATGCATAGATAATACAAAGTAATGGGGGGGGGGACTGGGAATAGCACTAACAACTCGGGGAGGGGGTTGGAGGGATCAGGAAAGGTCCCTTCTAGGAAAGTATATCTGAGCCGAGGCTTGAAATGAGATGAGAAAGGAGAACATCCCCATCCTGTATATAACCTGCTTTGTTTGCATGGTGTCTCCCCCCATTAGATTGTAGGCTTCTTGAGGACAGGGACGTGTTTTGCCTCTTTTGTATCCTCAGCGCTTGGCATAGCGCTTAGAACTTAGCAGGGGTTAATAAATGTTTATTGATTGATCGACGGCAGAGTCCCCTTCAGCTCTGAGCTATGACCCTAAGTGAGGGAGGCTCGTTTGGCTGAGATGCCACAGTGATGTGCGAGGTCGGCTGGAGCCGCAAGGTGAAGGGCTCTAGGGAAAACTGTATTTTATTCTAGAGGGAATAGGGAGCCAGCGCAGGTTCTCGAGCGAGGAGGGGGCATGACGACCAGGTCTGGCAATGCATCTGCGCTCCGAGCCTGCAAGGCACCCCCAAGGTGCTCCCCCGGGTTTCCGCCACTCCATCCTCCACCCATCGGGAGCAGTCTGTAGGCTCCCCAAAACAACCACCACCCTGACAACGGGAGGTGCGGGGGAACGGAGGGAAATTCCACGACACATTTCCGCGGAAAACTCGGGTTACGGGGCTTCCCCGGGCCGGACTGGCCTGGAGAGTCCCCCCCAGCTCCCCTGCCGGCCCCGAAGGGCAGCCGTGGGCAGAGCCCGCGCGCAGCAGCCGCAGCAGCAGCCCAGAGACAAAGGCGCATATGCTTCGACCCCACCGCGGCGCGGGCCCCGCGGCATCGCCGCTTTAAGCCGCAGCTCCTGCGGCGGTGGGGGAGGAGGGAGGAGCCCGGCTACGCGAGGACGTCACGGCACCGCCCCCCAACCCCCGCCTCCTCGCTATATAAGGCGCTCGGCGGCGCCGGCGCTCAGAAGCCTACAATCGACGGGGTCTCGTTCTCGGGGCAGGCTAGCGGCGTCTGCGCTTGCGCAATGTCCCGGCCCTTCTGTCCGCGGCGCTGAGCCAGCCGGGACGGACATGCGCGGGACGGAGGTTGGCGGCCGTGCGGCGGCGGCGGCGGCGGCGGCGGCGGCGGTGGCCGCCGCGGCTCCGCTGAGGTGAGGGGGCCCTCGAGCTGAAGTCGGGGCTGGAGGGCGGCGGCGGCGGCGGCGCTGCGAGGGCGGCCCCGCTTCTCAGCCCCGGGAAGGAGGAGGGACGCGGGGCCTGGCGGCGGTGACTTCCCTCCAGATGTGCGGGGGGGGTCCTCCATCCAGATGTGCGAGATGAAAGAGGCGCGGGGCCCCTCCCGCGCTGGGGGCAGGGGCGCGGGCGCGGGGCGCGTGGGGGAGCCGGCGCCGCCGAGGCTGCGGAGCCCGGTGCGCCTTCCCCGGCCGGCTCTCCTTTCATTCCATTGACTATTGTTCTCGTGCAGCCCGTGCAGCCTTGCACTGCCCTGCACCGGCACACCCCGACCCCGCGGCTGCCCGAGGTGGGGGAGCGACCCCGGGGGCCGCGCAGCCCAGCCCCCGCTCGCTTTACCGGCGGGGAATCGGAGGACCCCCCGAACCCCCTGACCGCGCTCCTTCCTCTGCACCAGCCCGGAGGTGGTGCGTGATGGGAGACAGGAATACAGCAAATCCTGTCTCCTGCCTTCTTTAGGTCTCCTCCGTCAGTGATTAGCGGGCTGAGGGTTCTGGTCGGGGTATTTTTTTCCTTTTGAGTCAGAACTGTTTTATTTATAGCATTAGACACTGTTAAAATGCCTTATAGCCCATAAATCCTACCTTAAAAGCTTTGGTGGGAGGCTGCTAGGAGGCATTTGGTAATTGCCTGCGCATGATTGCTCCTGATCGGATTCGAGATCAGCTTCAGGAATCTCTGCTCACGTTTCCTGTACTTAGGAGTCTGTGATTTTTTTTTTTTTACCCTGATGGTACATTCTATACTATTTTAGTGTCTCTGTTTCATTCTTTTCTGTAGAGGTGCCTAACTGTTTCCCTGGCCTTGTGATTCAAAAGGAATAGAGTTAGGGAGCTCTTACAAGGTGGACGATTAATTTATCTGTCGATTGTGTATTTGCGGTGTTTATATAGAAAACAATGTCTTGAGGTCCATAGCTCTGTACAAATTAAACGACTACTATGATTGGTGCTTGCTAAGTCTTTATTAGTATTTCATCATTGCTTGAAAGAAACAAGTCTCTTACTTGATAACATATGAATAGATTGTTAGTCATAAACTTGAGTGTAGTCAGAAAAGAGACTGTAGCTTTAAAGGAGGTGTGTTGGTGACTTTAGGTACACCTGTAACACAGGTAGGGCAGGACTGGTTTCTAGGCAACTGTCAGGGGTGAAGAAAGGTGAGGTTAAAATTCTTTTTTTTTTCTTCTCTCTCACTTCAGGAGAGCAAGTAACTAGTTAGCTTTAAGTTTTGGTAATTCTGCCATAAGAAAGTAGTCAGCATAAGTATTTTTGTAGTCTGGAAGCCCTCATCCAACCAAACTCGTTGGTACTTTTCTTTTATTGCCTTTCTGTTTACATTTCTGTGATAATGCAATTTTAGGTAGAAATTACTCTTAAGCAGGACGTGCACGTTGCCCTCCCTGAAGCTAGAATGCCATTTTTCAGCTACAACTACCAGATCTGGCAGGAGACCAAAGCCAGAGGATCTGGCTGAGTTTAACATGCCGACTCTCGTTTGGTTACCAGTGTGCTACTAACCCAAGATCATTCCTAGATAATAGCAAATTTGAACACAAACGAATGCAGCCTTTATCATGTGTCTTTGACATTAGTATTCAGTACCCATCATTCAGCTCAATTCATGCATGCATTTATTTTTAATTGTGTCCAAGAGGAAGGGATTGGAGGTGTTGGACCAACAAATTATATAATTTATCAGATCTTCTGGATGGTAAACTCCCCGAGGCCCAGGACTATGTCTTGGTCTTTTGAGTCCTGCACAGTGCCCTCAAAGTAGAAACTTAATATTTTTTTTAATAAAATTGTCCATGAGACAAGCCCTAGTACAGTCTCAGAAGAGAAAGGGAGGGTACCTGACTGACCCCAAGACAAATACATATCCGTTTTTGATGAGCTAGTCTTAAGAGATTTCTGACCCTTCTTCAGTGTTTGAACAGGGTAGGTAAAAATGACTGGCTTTGGCCAGCATGGTTTCTGATCACAGAAAAGTATGGATTACTTGAATGAAAGCAAGTCATACCATAGAAAACTTTTGTCTCAACACTGGTGACTTTTGTGTGAAAATGCTATTATTATTTCAGAGAAGTTAAACTGGGCTGGTGCTTCCTTTCAGCTTTAAAGGTGAAATTAACATGCTTGAAATGGACTTGATTGTCTGCATGCTGGCAGGTTGCTTTAGAGGGTGAACCTGAACAGAGGGGTGGAAAGGTGGTGCCAAGGGTAATTCCAGGAATTGGAATGTCATCAGCTTAGTATCTACACCAAGGAAACAACACTTCTGTTAATCCAAATCATTTGGAAGGATGCTCCCCGGTCGGAATTAGTCGAACACACTTCGGCAGGGAGGTTTGGCAGGCTTTCACAAAAGCTAATGAATGACTGACTCCCTACATAAACACAGTCTCCTTGTGTTCTTCTGGCATTATTCACATAACATAAATATAGGCTTTTAGCAGCAGGTCAAACAGGTGACTTCAGGGTCCTGAATGTAAGTTATTGGCCTAGTCAGATTGGACCTAGAGGCATTATGAAACAGTGGGAAGTATGCTGGATTGGGACAGAGGACCTGGGTTTGAATCCCAGTTCTGCCTTAGTTTCCTTGTCTTTAAAATGTCTGGGTTGAACTCTGTGGCCAGCTCTAGATCTATGATCCTGTGATTACAGGGGGAAATCTAAATATGGGCAGCATAGCAGATTTCAAGAGGAAAGAGTACAAAAAGAAAGATTAAGATTTGGGGGCAGTCATAACTGAAATAGCTCTAGTGGTATGGATTAGAGTGAAAACAGGTTAGTAAAGTTTGAGGTTGGGGTTTTTTTGTTTGTTTTTGGTCATGGTCAGTTTTTGTTGTCATCATTTCTCATGGATTTTGGCCAGAGGACCACAAAGCTGATCTAAATCAGAGGGGTTGAATTTGGTATCAGTGGAGAGATGCCATGGAGCAAGTAAGATATAGAGCAAAATTCATGTAGAAATAGAACTTAGGAACAATAGTCACAGAAAGGGTTTTATTATGTCTTCAGCATGTCAGTCTGAAGGAAAGAGAAGGGAAGAAATGTTTATATAGTACCTGCCATGTGCCAGGCACTGTGCTGAGCACTGTACAATTATCTGGTTTGATCCTCACAACCACCCTGGGAAGGGGGTGCTGTTATCCTCATTTTACAGATGAGGAAACTGAGGCAAACAGGGGGAAGTGACTTGCCCAGGATCACACAGCTAGTAAGGGTCTGAGGCTAGATTTGAACTTGGGTCTTCCTGACTTGGGGCAGCCAGATGGCACAGTGGAAGAGCCTCCAGTATCTTTCCGAGGAAAACCCCAAAGAGTCAGACACAACTGAAATGACCAGACAACAGCTTCCTTACTCCAGCCCCAATACTCAGTTCTCTGCCCTCTCAATGTATTGGTTACATCACAGATCATTCCAAACAGATTTGTCTCCTTGCTTTCTAAGAGCTTAGGGTCTGAAACAAACATTACTGTGGGACTGAATGCTTCTACATTGTTCGAGGGTCTCAGCCAGTCATCAAGTAACCTTCCTCTAACTCCCTTTCACCATCTACAAGAAGAGCGTTATAAGGATAAATGATGACCCAGATCCTTAGAAGAAAGAAGGTACTTTTTATAAACATAAGGCCTGCATTGCAGTGGAAAAAACACGGCCTGGAGAGGCAGGAAAGCTGGATTTGGTAGCTATTCTGCTACCACCTGGGGTGTTTGTGAATGTCAAATGAAAAAAATGCAGCTGGCCTTGGTTTGGGCACCTTCTTCTTCTTTGGATTTTGGTCTTTGGAGGTTTTACTGAAGTAAATTATGAGAAGTCAAGCAGATTTCTGGCTCCCTTGTAGGGCTGGTGGCTCTAATAACTTTGGGGGGGGGGGTCCATGGAACAGAGGAAATCTAAACCCCTTCCCATTTGTGGGTTTCTACTAGGCCTTGCAGTTTGTTTGTCTAACACTTTCACACTGACAGTTCTAGAACATGGAGCATGCCAGGGCACCTATTAAATACCATTAGTCCAAAGCTGCTGGAGTGGAATGGCTTGGTATGAGAGCTCTACTAAGTGGTCTTGCCCTGCAGTGACCTTCACATCCACAGGTCACTAAATTCTTTTGCCATAAAAATGTGTGCAGAGGAAATTATCTCACACACACACACACACTCACACTGCTTTAGACTGTGCAGTGCTACACTTGATTTAGATCAGTGTGAACACGTGTTAGCATTTCTTTGAACTTTATGCACTTAGATGCATCTTCTAAAATCACTTTGGTAGTGGGAGAAGTCCAAAGACGAACAGTTGTCAGTTTTTAAAATTTCCATTTCTCCCCTGTGACTGTAAGCTGAATTGAATCTATAAAGCATGGCATGGTAGAGAGAGGGCTGGCCTTGGAGACAGGAAGACCAAGATTCAGATGCCAGCTGAGTGGCCCTGGCCCAGGGGACAGTCATGCCATGGATGGACAAAATTACAACCTATCTAGCACATGCCTGCCCATGGGGAGGGGGCGTCGGGGGTCTAATCCTTCCACAGATTTGGCCCGATGTGTTTTCCTTAACTCATCAGGAGCTTTATATCCGTTTTCTCCACCATGGGGTGGGCAACAGTAGATCACGCAGACAGTCTGAGCAGGCATCCGTTGCTCTCCCTAATGACTATACTAGCTCATTCTTTTTTTTTCTCTTGGCTTTTTTTTTTGGCGGGGGGATTGTATCATACTCAGTTTCAGATATTTGCCTCTCTCCTCCCCCAGTGATCCATCATCCCATGAAAGCCATCGGGCAAAGCTAGCCGGCACATCACTGGTCACACAGGTCTCCAATATCCTGCACCCATGTCCACGTACTTCCTTGCTTGCACTGTGTTGATTGGCCCTTGCTCATGGCACAGGCACCTTGCCTTTGCCCTTTGGGGGC